TTTAACTCTCATGCTCTCTATGACTTTACTATAATCTCTAATTATTATCACTGTACAATTGTGCCTACCAAACCTGTGATGTTTTGTGGGGTTCCCTCTTACCCTTAACCCCACATAGCTTCCCTTCAGAAGTTAAGATTAACCCACCTCCAACCAAAAGACAGTATTCACTAAACAGTACCTGTAGCTGGAGGAGAATGCAACTGGTGGTGAGACTTAAATAACTTAACAGCTGGTTCTCTTCCCTAATGGGTATTTTACGTATAACAAAAGATATTCCAAAAGGTCTTTAATTATTTCATACAGTTAGTACTCCGGCAAGAATGTCAATAAGAATAATAAAAGGTAGGTACATAAAACTAGATTGTTATAAGAAAAAATTTAAATACTAATAAAAAGTATTAAGTAATACCTACCCCCAAAATCAACTTGTTCAATGTGTTTCTACAATGCTTCTTGATAGACCTCCTCAGTTACAAATTTCATTCTTTTTTAAAAATTTATTTTATTATTTTCAATTATTTTTTTATTAACAAATTTCATTCTTAAATGAGCATTAGTCGGCTGTGTGATTTATCCATCTTTTCACTGTAGGAGTAGGATCCATTCCTTTACAATTAGGCCAGTTAGATAATCGTCATTGTGTTTGCTATATTGAAAACAGGCAGCTTGTCTTCTTTGAACATACTACATTGATCTTTGAAGAAGCTCTTTCTGCTTCTCCTGTGCTGAGAGAATGAGCCCATTGCCACATCCTGTAATAGGCATAGGTGGTGTTGGACTACTTCTCCAGTTGTGGAGGCACCAGGAAAGTCTCTGGAAGATAGGTCAGGCTCCTGGGGGTCTGGGAGGCTTTCACCCTTTTCTGACCAGTGGCTCTTGTGGAGTGAGGTTTAAACGTAACTTCTGTTGGTGTCTGGGTTACCTTCCTTTCACAAATCAGAGTGGCTGGGAAGACTGGGGTGGGCTTAGGTGGGTACTTGGGGACCTGTTTCAGCAGGTCTGTGTATTCTTGCAAAAGCATAAAGCCTGTACATATGGGACCTTGGACCTGTTCCCTTCTTGGGGACAGAAAAGATCCAACTGCAAAATGGCATTGTATTCCAAAGATGTGCCTGGCAGCCAGCATTCTCTGCTCACCGGGGGGTATTGAGGCCAAGCCTAATTTAAGGAAAACATTTTTTTTTCTCTTCAGGGAGTATAGCTGGAAGCACAGTTTAGTCCAGTTCTTAAAGACACCATCTGAAGGAGTTATTCTGGGTTTTGTGGGAGATTGATTTTGTCCCATAATTCCAAGACCTAGAGGATCCTGTTGTCAATTAGTCTCTCCTGGTTGAGACCCCAAGATGTCAGGACACCTTGTTGGTTGCTCAAAAGCAATGGTGGCGTGGTGATAATGCAGAGGCAGAACAAGCAGGTAGGAGGAGGCAGCACAGCAGATTCATTGAGCAGTTAGTTAGGACACACTGAGGACCTGCCCCCAGTCTATGCTAAAGAAAGGATGAAAATAGTGAGACCCCGCCCAGAGCTGACGCTTTTTCAGGGCCATTTGTGCTCAGGGTTGGGGTTTAAAAAAAAAAATGCTGTTGTCCCAGGTTGGCTAGCATGTAAACATTGGCCCCTTTGTCTGGGACCCCACTATTTCCTCACTTGGTGAGGTCCTGGGTGTTCAGGTTCACAGCCTCCCTGTTTCTGGTACGTAGCGACTCATCAGTCAGACTTGTCTGGTGGCTTTCCTTCTCCTTGTCACATTGCCCTTCCTCAGAAGCACAGCTCACTTCACCCTCTCCAGACACGTTCTCCAGACAGCCTGCAGGAGCCCTGCTCCACCTCCCCCGACCCTCTAGACACAGTTCCTGGTGCCTCAGCATAGGCCTAGAATAGGTGGTAGTGTCCCCCAAGACCTCTGGCCCTGTGCTCACCTGGGTTTCCAGATGTGATTAAAATTGGCTCAGTCACAAATTCATAGTATATAAATGCCCCATGTGCAGGCAGAAGGTCAGAGAAATTGGGGGCCTGGGGCTGTTTATAAGAGTAAATAGCACAGTGAACTGGGCCCTGTGTAACCAGAGCACAAAGGCTAAGTCTCTATAGAAGTTAGAAATTAATGTAATTCTACTGGAGTGATTTAAATAAAATGGGATTTTAAATATGTTCATAGTGTAATCAG